GGCTGAGGTTACAGGTGTACGCCACCCATGACTCTTTAAATATTTCATAAGTTCATAGAAGCTGGGTGTGGCAGTATATGTCTGTGGACGCAGCTACTTGGGAGGCTGAGACAGGAAGATCACTTGAGCCCAGGAGTTCAAGGCCAGCCTGGGTAGCATACTGAGATCCTATTTCTTAGATAAAAGAAATTAACAGAGAGAGAGAGAGAGAGAGAGAGAGAGAGAGAGAGAGAGAGAGAGAGAGAAAATTCTAATTAGAAAGGGCAGAAAGATTATAGAGTCCAATAAATTCATTTTAGAAATGGGAAAGATTCAGAGAGACCAAGTGACTTGCTGAAGGTTACATGATAATCAAGTTTTATCCCCAGAAGAGGTTCTAAGTTCTCAGACTTCCATATCAATGCTTTTTCTACTATCTGCACAATGATAAGACATTTTATACTTTCCAGAGCGATCCTACAGTTTGTCAAAGCACAGGGCTACTGAGTGGTCAGTGCATCTTGACCACAAGGGAACTGAGCTCTTATGAAAAAAGATGTCAAACCTCTAGGCGGAGACACTGATGTCTTGGAGGTATTGATAACACCAGCGATGTGCTGCCTCCCAGGAAAGCCTGGAGAGACACTTCTTTTGGTAAGATGCTCTTCCCATGCTTGGAACGCTGTGTGGAAGGTGCAAACTGAGGAGGGAAATCTGGGGATGAAAGCTGAGGTGTGCTGAACACAGCATTTGTTAAGCCTGTTCCTCCATCTGCTGTAAAGTTGGTGTCTTGGTTACTTTACCTGACACCCAAAGTGAAACAAGGGAAAGTTTCTTTCTTATAGTTCTTGGAGGTTTCAGTCCATACTCAGCTGGCTACAGGCAGGGTGGCACGGTGGGGCTGCTGTTCATGGCTGCTGCAAATAGCGAAGTGCAAATGGGGCAAAAGAGAGGAAGACAGGCCTTCTTCCTGCCCTCAGACTGTATGTTGGCTCTGCCCCTGGGAAGGTGCAGCACTCACACCACCAATATCAGCACCAGACAACAAACCAATCATGAACACCAGACTCAGCTGCATCCATGATTGCATGAGACTTGGAGGGGACCATCTGAACACAAACCATAACAGTTGGGAATTAGTGCTCCAGGGCTCACGTCCGATCCTCTTACGATTACTGAGTGAAGCCCTCAGCTGTCTATTGCTCTTCTGGATCTAGCAAGAATTGGGGAGCCTCAGCCCCTCCCACCTGCCTGAGACAGCTCTCCCTGCTCCAGCTCCTGCAGCTCAACCATCCAATCTGCACAATTAGTACCTGATGATATGCAGTCCAGGTGTGTGTGGGATGTTCCCCACTTTATTAGACCAAGATCAGTGTGGTTACATATATTATTATCTTCTTTCCTGCCCGGCTGGCATGTCTGGTCTCCCCCAGATAACTGGGCAGGAAATGTGCCTGAGTTTTCTTTATTTTATAGCTTCCAGCATGATGCTGGGCATCTCACAGGAATTCTGTAAACTCTATTTTCTTCGACCATTGACTACCTGGAAGTAAATATAATCCCCACAGACTCAGGAGTCTTCTCAAGCTATGCATCTGTTTTGATCACTGGATAGCTTAATTTATCAAGACAAGCAATGTGCAAATGGAAAGAAGTAGAAATCACCTTTCTGAAAAGTCAAAGTTCCCACTAGCATCTAGAGTGTGGGGCACTGGCTGCTTGCTGGAGTGCAGGGCAATGCAGCTCTCCCTCTGCTGGGAGTCTTTTCTGTCCTTGCACCCTGGGGCTGACAGCTGGGCCAGAGGGGCCTGGAGGGGGAGGGTGGCAGGCCCAGGGTTACAATGGGGCAGGCTTTGGCCTTGGCAAGGCTCTGCTGACCTTGCGGAAGACCCAGGGAGGCGGTTTCCTTTCCTCTCTGGGCTGCAGGTTTTTAATGTCTTCTTTGTTGGTCTGGGCCCCTGGGGACTGAACTGAAGGGAGAGACTTCAGGCTTCTCCCTCCTCCCGGACAAAGCGGTGCATACTTTTCCTGTTGAAACAGGGCGCAGTTGTGAAGTGCCCTGACTTCGCGCACACCGAGGCCCGGCAACGGCTGCAATAAATCAATAGGAAAATAGAAGCTGCCAGTTAGACTAAACAAGTGCATTTGCAAAGACTGCTAGCCCTCATTAATCACTCTGACAGTCCTAAAAACACATTTCCCCTTTAATGACTGTATTTGGATAATCAGTGCTTTTTCTTCCTCAGTCAGAGTTTGAGTAACAGACAGCTGGTGTTATTACAGCCATGGGGAGGGGGTGCTGGGATTAGGGCGTCCGGTGGAGGTCTCCACCAGCACAAGTGCAAGCCGGGCAGGCCGCAGAGCTGTTGCTAGGCCGTGATGAGGGGCGCTTTGTACTCCTCAGGCAATTGGGGAAGCCCCGAGCACGGGCCTGCTCCTCAGCCTGACACCCTCCAGCGGTAGGAGAGTACAGACCCTCACTTGGGTTTGGCCAGCTGGCATATTTAACCTGGGGTGGGGAGGCAGCGGTTTCTCCGTCAGGGAGGTAGGAAGATGGGTTGGTGCGATCTGGCTTTGTTTCTTTTAGGTGACTTTGGGTTTCAGGAGAAAGTTTGAAACCCAGCACATTGCTCTTTATAAATGATGTAACACATTAATGCACAGCACATTATGAAAATGGTAATTCAAACCCATAGTGCTCCAAATTAAACCATACATTATCAGACGCACTCAACCATCTATTTTGCAAAAAGACAGGATGAATGAAATCAAATCAAACAGAACACTGGAGTGCAGCTTCCTCTAAAGCATGATTAATAAAGTGCGGAGCCACAGGATTACTGTAAGATGAATTCCATGGTAACCCAGCCCTGCTTCAGGGGAAAGTTAGTTCATACATTTGAGAAACACTATTGAAACATGCAGGGTAGGGGAAGGCCATTCTGGCCTTAGAACCATGGCAAAGGGCCTGTGGCTCCTGCGTGGGCTGAGCCTGCAGTGAATGCTTGGGAAGCTGAAAGGGAGACACCATGATTCAGTTTGCATCAAACCTATATGGGGGTGAGTCCCTTCATTCTCCTCTTCTGCCCTCCCTGCTGCTCACAGGGTCACAAAAATAACCGAAGAGGTGTGAAAATAGGACCATGGTCTCAATTCCCAGTAGTGTGGCTCATGCCCTGATGCCTGGGGAAGGCAGCCTCACTTCTGGCAGCTGGGAGAGATTTGGAAGAGGAGGAAGAGGAGGAAGAGGAAGAGAAGGAGGAGGAAGAGGAGGAGGAAGAGGAGGAGGAGAAGAGGAAGAGGAGGAGGAGGAAGAGAAGGAGGAGGAAGAGGGGGAGGAGGGCTTCGAACAGAAAGAGGTAGAGACACAGAATGTTGAGGAGATTCTCAAAGAAAGAGTTAATTACCCAAATCAGCAGTTGGTGGGAGTACCCTCTTGATTCAAATGGCAACTTTGGTTAATGGGAATTAACCTACTGAAAGTAACAAACTCCCCCTTCGCTAATTAAAACAGCCAGACTTCAGAAGGCCTCCAGTTATGGGAGGACAAAGCAGTGGATCCTGGGTAAGAAGGAGGACACCCACGACTAGACCCCTTTCCTTGTGTGGCTCGTGTTAGCTGGGGTAGGTGGCCCAGCCAGGGTGGGCGTCCACTGCCCTCAGTGTGCCAGTGTTGTGAAGGCCCCAGGGTTATCCAACCTGCACTCCTGCAGTTCTGGTGTAAGTCCAGAAGCATGTGAAGAGTTCCTCTTGCCAAGTGGAGAACTTGTTGTGGGTGATACCTCTTCCTATTTCCTTTCCCAAGAAACAAAAAGTTGCTCGCAACAGGGAGGGAGAGAAGACAGGAAAGACATTAAACAGCAAACACCAGCAGCAGCAGCAGCAGCAGCAACATAAAGGGCATGTTTAAATTTTCGGACGTTTCAAATCTTTGGCGTCTGAATCAACCAGGGCTGATTCCCCCCAGACTCTGTCTGGTCTCTGAGCGACCTTCCCACCCTTTCTGCCTGGCTGTACCTCGGGCTCCCAGACTCTGGCGGGCCAGGCTCCTCCTCCTGGTTCTGGGGCGTGTGCGGGGAGTCTCAGGTCACTCAGTGGAGACCTTGACCAAGGAAGGAAATCTGCTGCCCACATTTTAAGCTGTGGTCTTGCAGTCCTGAGCAGAGGGCCCAGCGGCCACGTGTGTCACGGAGTCTGTGGATTGGCGGGAGACTGGGGACCGGGCCGGCTGGGGGCAGCGCGGCCGGGAGGGGGCGCAGAGGCCGCGCACGCTGCACCCGGCCGGGCTGGGCTGCTCCGCGGCACCGACCCTCCCCACCTGGGATACAGCAGCAGCTGTCAGCCGCCAACCCCAAGAAAGAGGAGCCTGGCTCCCCAGGTTCCAGAAGGTTTTCAGAGTCGCAAATAACCCGGGAACCCCCAGACCTTGCGAAACTAGCACCTCTACAAGTGTATTTGGTCATTGAAGACACGATCCCTCCGTAAGAAAAAATCCTGCAAGGAAAAAAATTATCCGAGTTTAGGGTTGGGGAGTATGAGAGGTCCTGTCGAGGTTGGAGCCCATCGCGGCTGCTCTCCCGCCTGCCGCTCGCCTCCCCGCCACCAGATGGCGCCAGAGGCACGCCGTCACTGCACACCCTCCGCCGGGCTCCGACGGGTTGCTGCAGGTCTCCATCTGAGCCCTGGTTCCTGGTTCCCTGAGTCACTTGCACCTCCGAGCAGGGCTGAAGGAAACCCAGTCTTACATGCCCTCCACCCTGGCCCCAGCGAGTGTCAAGGCCTTCGAAACGGGGTTAGGAGCTGGATGCTCAAGTGGGGAGAGATAAAGGTGGGCTCAATATTATTTATAATGTGCTGTCAGAATTTTTTTCTCCTGGCCTGCCCTCATTTTGAGGAAAGGCCTAAACTAGAACAGCAATCTCAGAAGCCCTAAGGCATTTTAAACAAAATAAAAGAAGGGCATCTACTTTAGGTGATGGTATGGGGCGGTGGGTGAGGCAAGAGAGAAACACACCACGGTGTGAATATAGCCAAGTATTCCATTTATTAACAAAATAAGTCTTACCAAGGGAGCGTTCTATTCACCCCAAACAGGCCCAAAGCCCGGCCGCTGCTGCTGCTGCTGCTGCTGCTGCTGCTGCTGCATAGACCGAGAGGGAAGGGGAGGTAGGAGGAGACCCAGGGCCAGGGTCTGCCATCCTGCCAAGGCCAACTCTGGGGACTGCTGGGTCACACCTGGAAGGGGGTGTGGGGTGGCTTTGGGCCCAGTGCTCCCTGAGTCCCCGACCTTCCGCCCCAGGAGTAGGTGACCTGGCAACAGAGGTCTGCTTAGCCAGGATCCAGCAAGGATCCTGTCCCTGACACCAGGGTGGGGTCACAGCCCCAGGAGGGAGCGGAGGAAACAATGCAGTAAAGCACTTCACAAAATAGAAGGAGCAGAGTTGCAGGCCAGTGGGGCCTTCCAGCACAGGAGCTACAAGCCGCCACCATGGGGAGTGCTACTGGGTGTATGCACGGCTGGCCCCAGGCCGCTGAACCCGCTATGGGGAGCCTGTTATAGGTCAGGGACCTTGGGTTCAGAGCAAAGTTGGTGGGGGCTGTGACAGAGGGGCCCAGGGCCTGGACCAAGGCCCAGGGCCAGGTGCCGGCTGCCTCTGGGGTCTACAGAGCTCAAGGCTGCCAGCCACTAGGTTTGTTCCCTCAGCCCACAAACTGTTACCCAGAATTCCTCCCTGCTACTTGTACAAAAGGAAAAACAAAAATCCCAGAACCTTAAATTGAAGGAAACAAGAAGGGATGAAAGGGAAAAGAGGGAAATGTAGTTTGAATGGTTAAAATTCATGCAAGAAATTCCTCAGGACAGGAAAACAAAACCTAAGCACTCCAATGCTCCCTCTTCTCCCCAAAAATCAAATCATAAAAGTTTAAAACTTATACCTAAGGAAAAGAAAAAAAAATAAAAGAAGGGGGGGCAGAGTAGTTATCTGTGTGGTTAATATTATTATTGGGGGAACAGACTTTTTGCATACCATTGACTCGTGTGGGCCGTTAATGCACTTATATTCCCAGCTTGTAAGCTAACATCATAGTAAATAAATACACAGTCCGGAGGGGAGGGGCAAGTCCCGGCGGGGAGAAGCAGTAGTGGAGGCTGCAGCAGCGGCGGTGGAGGCAGGGCGGGGAGGAGGGGATGGGAAGAGCTGGGTGGGGCGCGGAGCTGTGGTTACTGGTATCCGAGCGCCGAGGCTGAGGCTAGTCTCTGTCCGTACAGCGCATATGGTGAGTAGTAGGGTCCGGCTGTAGGGAGCGACGGCACGGCCAGGCCCCCGGCTGTGGACAAGTGGCTCTTGCCATAGGGGTGGTACCGGCTTAGCCCCAAAGTATGTGGACTCCGCAACGACAGCGACCCCGGGCTGCCTGGGGCGGCGGGCGGGGGGAGGTGCAGGTGGCAGGCAGCGGCTGCGGCGCTGCCCAGGCCCGAGGCCCCGGGGTAGGCGGCCAGAAGTTTCTCAGCGCCCGGCAGGGCCGTGTGAGTCCGCAGGTGGCTGAGCAGCTCCTCGGAGGTGGCGAAGCGCTTGTCGCATGGCCCGCTGGCCGCCACCCAGTTGCAGCTGTGCGGCAGCGGTTCGTTCTGCAGCATGAAGCCGTAGGTGTAGAGCGGGTGGCCTGGGAGCGCGGCCTGGGCGGCGCTGGAGGACAGCGCGGCGGGCTGCAGTGGGTGCCCGGGGTACACCAGCGGGTAGCCCCCAGCCTTCAAGCTGGGCCCGGCAGGGTCGTGCGCGCTGCAGGTGGTGCAGCTGGAGCCTCCCAGGTGCGAGGCGCTGTGATAACCTCCTAGGCAGTAGGGGTCGCGGCACAATCCCTGCAGGAAGGAGGGCGGGGAGGCCCCGGTGAGTGGGCTGGAGCTGGGGGGCTTGCCAGGGGGCAGACCCAGGCCCCCCGACAGCTGGCCTCCTACGAGGCCCGACTTGCTGGGATCCAGGCCAGGCACGAACTGAGACGGGTAGCCGGCGTAGGCGCCCACGATGGAGCCATGGTAGCCAATGCTGGAGGGCGGCAGTGGGAACACTGAGTGGCCAGGTTTGTAGGGCGACACGGGCGCCACGTGGCCGGCCCCCACCAGCGCTGAGGGCGGCTCGGACTTGCGGCCAGAGGTCCCCGCCTCGGTGCCACCGTGCGCACCAGGCTCCGAGCCGCTCCCGCGGCTCACGGCTGCCGGCTCTGGGCTGGGCTTCGGCTCCGGGTCTTTCTTGTCCGGCTCCGCGCCGCCGCCGCCTGCGCCACCGTTCTTGCAGTCAGTGTGGTGTGGGGAACCTCCGCGGGAGCCACCAGGTGAGGACGAGGCCGACACGGGCGCTCCATGCGAGGGGAAGGGCTGGCAGGCGGCGCTGGGGACCCTGAAGCCTGCCTTGTCTCCCGGGGACGAGGATGAGGACGAGGTTGAGGACACCGAGGAGGAACCGCTGTCTTTGCGGGCGTCGCCGCCCACGGAGCCCTTGGAGTAGGGCTTGAAGCTGGACTTGTCCTCGGCCGGGGGGTCCCCCAGCTGCTTGAGGGCCGCGGATGCGGACGCGGCACCTGGGGCGGGGCGGCCCGGGTCCTTCTCCGTTCCCAGCCCGTTGGCTGCCGTCGCCGCCACCGAGTTGAGCTTGGACGAGGGAGGCGGGTCGGGCTTGCCGATCTGCGAGCAGGTCTGGGCCAGTAGCGCCAATGGGCTCTTCTTGGCGTCCAGCTGTGGGGGGCAGCGGCAGGGGAGGGAGAAGGGGTGAGACCGAGAGATCACTGAGGAAGCCCTCGGGGAGCGCGGCTGGGCGGAACTGCGAGCACTCGGCGGGCCGGTACCGCAGCGCCCCGACAGGCCCGGGGAAAGAGCAATGCAAGGGCTCCTCCAGGGTCTCCTCGGGGAAAGATGTCTTCGTTGGGATCAGGGATGGGAAGCCCCTTCCCCTCTATTTTACCCGTCCTCTGGGCCCAGAGCAAAAACTTCTGCCTCGAGTTTGGGGGAACTTCGCTTGGGACGGGTTTCGGGCGACGGCGCCAGGTGGTGGGGGCGGGCAGAGGCGCTTTCTAAAGGCCGGGCTGCTGTTGGCGCTCAGCAGCCCCTCCCTCTCTCGATCCCTCCCTCCCTCTCCGGGAGGGCACCCAGGGAAGTGGGAGGAAGAAAGACCCGGGATCGGGTGTGTCTGGACGCAGGGCCGAGCGCCCTAACCGGATGGCAAAGGGGCAGCGTGGGACCTGGGCGGCCAGGGCTTCAAAGGGAACAAGCTCCGGGATGGGGCAGCCCGGGGGAAATCATCCCTGACTAGAGAACTGGGTGCCAGAGGAAAAGTGAGGGACCTAGGGGGGACTCGAGAGCAAATCCAATCCAAGAGCAAACACCTAGCTCCGGAGGGCGAGCTTGGAAGGAGACCCATCCATGGGGAAGCCCAAGGAGGTGCTGGCGGACTTGCACTCCGGCGTACTTCGCTCCTCCGCAGAGGGCCCACCGGCGCCGCTAGACCAGGGCGTCGCGCTGAGCCCCGGGGCTCAGGGCGCGGGGCTCAGGGCGCAAGGCCCGGCCGCGGTGCAGAGCGGGGCCGGCGCGGGCGGGCGGGCGGGGGGGCGCGCCTGGGAAACTGACCTCAATGGGGCTGACCGGCGTGGAGGACAGTGGCTGCAGGTACTCCGGGTGCAGGAGGTGGCCGGTGTGAGCGCTCAGCATCTTCAGGACCCTGATGGGGAGCCGGTTCGCCTGGCGCAGGGGGTCCGCCGGTGGCAAGAGGGACACCGCCGCCGGCACTGCCGGCCTCTTCCCGCCGCCGCTGCTCTCGGGTGTCCTTGGGTTAGATCCAGCGGGCGAATCGCTCATTTGGAGGAGGCAGCGCCGCGGGGGGGGGGCGGGGAGGGAGCGGGAGCACCGGGGAGGCGAGCTCCCGGGGCGGGTGGGCTCGCTCCGCAGCGTCGAGCGCCGGGCGGCAGCCGCTCGTCGCCTCGTCCCCTCCTCCACCGACGCCGCTACCGCTGCCGCCGCCAGCCCCGGCGAGCCACACAAAAACCTTCGCCTTCCGCGAGCCGCACGTCAAATAGCCGCGATCGGCAGCCACACTTCAAAGGCATCGCCGCGCCCGCCCAATCGCAGCTCGCGCCGGGAGCCTGGGGCGGGGCGATCGGCGGGCGGAGGCCGGCGCCGCCGGTGGGCGGGGAGAGTCTTAAAGGGGCCTCGCCGGCGCGCGGTCGCCGCCCCGCACCGCCTGCGCTCAGGCGCCCCGCCCCACCGCCCCTCCGCGAGGCTGTCGTAGCCGCCGGGTCCCCAGAGTGTTGGGGCTTCTCTGGGACCCCAGGCTCCGCGCCCTTGTCTCTGCTGGCTTTCCGGTCGCAGCGTCCTGCTTGTCTTCCCACCACTGGGGGCGGGGGCGGTGGTACCGGCAGGGCTGTCACCCCGCGTGTCCGGCGGCGTGGCGCGGCGCGGGGCTGGGTGGGAGTTGCGCGCCTGCTCCGGGACCGCCGAGTCCCTGGCGCTCTCGGAGGCCGCCGGGGGGCAGCCCGCGCCTCGCGATCGCTGGTCCTTTTGCGGCGCGGCGCGGGCCCTTCCGCTCCCCGGGCGGCCTCTCTGGGCGTGTGCAATCCAGAGCTCAGGAGCTTTGGAGGCACCCACTGTTCTCCGGGCGCGGCATGAGTCGCTCAGAGTACTTTGATCCTGTCGGGTCTGAAGGCTGCAAGTTCCAGGACTGCCTTCTGAGGCGAGATGGTTTCCAGGAATCCCGGGACCTTGGACGGAACGCACCGCCCCCGAGGCTCCCGGAGCGCTGTGCAGCCCGCGCTCAAAGGGGGTTTGGTGTTAGGGTGCAATTCAGGTGCCACGTCGTGGTCTCTGCAAAGGCCTCGCCATGCCGTGCCTAGCTGCTCTTTGGAGGGTCCTGGGAGAGGCCAGTATCCCCGAGGCAGGGAGACAGCTGTCTGTCTAAGTGCTGCATGACCACATAAACTCAGGAGACAGCAACTTGATTCCTTCTCCCAAACACTAGGTTTTCCCAGGGAAACTTAACAGGTTAAAATAATAATCCCCCCCACCTCCAAGCCTGTAGGAGAAAGTATACATTGCTAGCTTTTCACTTGGCAGAGATCTTACCAAGTCACTGTCCTGACACTGAAGTTCCCCGTCCGCTGCCCCACAGAAGGCCAGGCTGGTCTTTTGGGCACTGGCCTCGAGTGTCCACTTCCCTGTGCTGTCCTAGTGCTGTCCTCTGCCAGTTAAGGGCAGCTAGGGTCCCCGTATCCTTTGCAGGGCCTCTTTCCTAAGCGCATCTGTCACTCAGATTGTCAGGCCTGGCCCTGGAGGCCAATTGCTCCTGGACTTCCCGAAGTGCTGGATGCTGACCAGCAGCTTGAGACAAATCCACCCGGTGCCAAGACCGGGTGGATTTCGAAGGAGTTCTTTAAAGGAAAGAAATACCCACCATAGTGGTAACAGTTGTGCCCTCTACCAGTGCCCAGAGGAGAAGATGCAGGCAGCTCTGCCAGGCTGTGACTAAACTACACATACTCCCTAGCTCCGTACTGTTTTGGGACAGTTTGTATGGATCTCTCAGAAATCATGCAGGCTTTCCTTCCCTCATTTTCAACTCCGGTAAAATCAGGTTCAAACAAATGGTCAGGGGCTGCCTGAGTGGAAGGGTCATTGTGGGGGGCTCTACCTGTCCTCTCCCTTTGGTGCTGCTCTGCGCTGTGACCTTACTGTTGTGGCCAACATCACCTTTAAAAGTCCACTGCAGGGCTGCTTCAACCTTTAAGGCCATCTGGCCTTTGGGCCCCTGCCTTGCAGAGAGAGATCTACAGAAGAAGACAGCACAAGGCGGGTGCAGGGGGACTGACCTGTGAGGACACCTCCGAGGAGGAAGAGCTGGGGAGGAGAGGTTAGGAGACAGTAAAAGATGAAAGACTCTGTGATTATTGTAACCAGCCCGGCTGTGAGAGTGAGCCAAGAAACCCTTCCAGGACCCCAGCAGATGTGTGTTAGAAGTGATTAATGGAGAGAAGTTGGGAGGGGAAGGGGAAGGGGAGTATGTACAGGAATGTGGAAGCAAAGGGGTCAGGAGGCAGCAGAGGGAGAAGAAAGGAGCCCACGGGGGTGTTTACCTTCTGTTTGGAAAGGAAAAGAGGAGGGGAAGAAAGGTAGTGATTGCATGAAAGGAAGGAAGAAGAGGAGTTGAGAACAGGATGGCCAGGCTGGGAATTTGCCTAAGTAATAATATGTGGTCAGTCCTGGAGCCCCCTGCAGGAATTACTGACAGAGACTGTGGTGTCAGATAGCAGTGTGTGGAGGCCAGGCCTGCCTCTTCTCTGTCCTGGATATTCCTGGGTTTTAGGGGCTCAGGGTTGGTTCATACTTTGGGGGTCAGGAGAGGGCAGCAGGGTCTTTTTGGCTGAATCCATCCAGTTACCTTAGGAGAAAAAAAGTGCAAAGCCATTCTTAGCCAGGCCAGAGGTCTAATTAAAACACTATTGGGTGATTATTACAATTAGTATTTGCCATTCACTGAGCTGACCGACAGAGCCAGAATGGGGCCCTAGTGGCCTGGGAGGAAGTACAGTGTACCCAAGAAGGGCTTTTTGCATGGGAGTGCGCACAGCTCAGTGTTGGATCTGCTATGGAACCGCTGAGCACAGAGCCTGTGCTCGGGTGCGTTGGAGAAGTCCCTGTGTGATGTGAGTATACTGAAACGAGTCCTTTCCTTTTCACCAAGTGGCTGATGTATGATCAAGGGGCCTTGTTGTAGGGAAGCCCTTCTCGGGTTGCCCTGGAAATGAGTATCCATGTTGAAACAGGACAGGGCCAGCGCTGCTTGAGGTGCTGTTGTGGTACCCCAGGGAAGAATAACAGTACTGCACACCTGGTGCCTGTGAATGCCTCAGCCACTGATGAAGATGACGGGATGGGGGGGGGTCACTTGGAGTCATGGTGCTCAGTTATGGCCCTGGGAGCGAGGCCTCTGAACCATGCTGCTGTGGGAACCCTGGACAGATGGACCTGGCTGGGCTTCGGTGTTCTTTGTGCATCATCTGTGAGCATGGCACCTCAGTGTCAGGAGGCCAGGAGGGAGTTCATGTCACGTGAGTGTGTGGCACCCAGGAAGTCCCAGGTACGTGATGGCTGTGATGCACTGCACCATTTGCATCTGTAGGGCTGTAGCTCTGGGGGGCTGACACATCAGCCCCAGAGCCTTGAAGATCTCAGCCCTGGAAACTGACTGGAGGAGCCCAGGCTGACTGGTGAATGGACCATGAAGGACCCCTCTGCCAGCTTCCACTTCAGTGTACCTTTTTGAAGTATCCTTCCTAGGCCATGGAGAAAATCCTTTAGGAAATCATGAATTTGCATAGATTCTTCCCTCCCCCAACTCCAATTTCTATACAATACCCCACCCAAGAAAAGCTGCCCTGCATCAGGCTGAGCCCCAGAGTTGGTAGATTTCTTGCATGGAGTTAATGTGTAGTTTTCACTCCTGGCCGAGGCGGAGTTGCCTGAGTGGTCGTCTGTATAACACTCCAACCCTAATTGGAGCAACATGCAATGATATCTCACTAGGTAACTGTTTACGTATTTATTTCTTATGAGCCATAAGAACTCTGAAAAGTCTATGTCTTAGAGAACTTGGTTTTCTTCCCTGACACTTAATATCTTCCAGCAGCTGGCAGTTACTGCCTTGGCCAGAAATCCTGCTGTGGCATACTGCTGGGGCACTCGGAGGTATTTCTGGGTGCCCTGTCCATCCCCAGCCTTCAGATCCAGCCTGGGGCAGGGGAAGAAACAGCAAAGCTGGGCCTGCTGGCTTTGCAGGAAGCCTGCACCACTGGTCAGGAACCTTTCTCTGTTCTCAAATTCTGCTTGTATAGGATCTTACATTTAGCCAGCGCGTCTCCTGGCATTTGTCCCCTTGTCCCTTCTCTTGCTAAACTGTAAATGCTTCTATGTTTTCCTCATCTTCTCTATTTTTGCCTAGCAGGATGTTTAACCATCTTCACGTGGAGTGGTAAGATGGATTGAAATATTTTGTATGTGTTTTCTAAGTCCAGGCCACAGAACCCCAAGAGCCAGGACCTGCTACCCCAATGCTCAGAGGAGGAAAAGGAGACACAGAGAGGTTAAACTTCTTGTTCCTGGTCCAAGCTGGTATGGTTAGAGATAGAGATTGTGACCGAGGCAGTTCCAAGGCCATAAAAGCCCAGGAATGCTTGTTTGTGAATGGATACCAAGCTGTTTGTTTATATCTCACCTTGCCTTCTTCCCGAAAGATTTAGGGTAAATGATTGTGTTTTCAAAACGTTGATATATAACCATGTGGAAGTATCTTTTTCCCAAATGCACTTTTTTGTCTTTGTTTCAGAACACGTTTTGGAGTTCTTTTGGGCAGGTTTTATTATCTGTTTAAGAAACAGGTTCTGAGAGTTTGAGGGGCGTGGAAAGTCACAGGGCAGAAGGGGGTGCGGAGTGAAGTCCTCGGAACTCCCTACTTGGTTGTTGGTTGGTTAACTTCTAACAGGACCCACTGTCTGTGGTGCAGGAGGTCGTTCTGATAAAAGGTGGAATGAGCTCCTTTTCCTCCCCCAGGAATTTCCTTTAGAGATGTGGTGGGAAGAGGGACAAAAGGAAATGTACCCCGGTACCGATAAAAAGGAAAAAGACAAAAAAAAAAAAAAAAAAAAAAAAAAAAAAAGGAAATGTAGACCAGGGCTTATCTTCAAGCCTGTCCTTTTGATTTGGGTCCCCGAGCAGCTGCTTTGAAGAAGTGATTTCATTTATCTCTTATCAGCCCCTGGGGAGACTGGCAGGCCTGGGCAAGGGCCACCCCATAGGTGTGTTTTGAAGTTCTGCCTCCTTTCCCTGCCTGGCCCTGGGACATCAGCAGCCCCAGTCCTGGGTATTCAGCCTGGATTCCCCTGTCCCTTCTGGGCTGCCAGTTTTGGCTTTTAAGTTGCATATACTGCTGAGAGTTGTCTCACCTTTGTTATCAACTGACGTCTCTGTCTTTGAATTTTCCACCCAGGACAGTAATAC